GGAATCTCCAAACTGATTTCCACAGTAGTTTCACCAGCAGACTTCTTTTTAGAAGATGCTTAACTATATTTAATAGTTAATTTTTTGATGTAAGAATTCCTAAGACATATTCACAAATGGAACCAATAAGCAATTTTAATAGCTGTAATATTTTTGCCTATCATAAAAGTAAGGAATGTATGGTCATTGCAAAACCTAGTCTTAAAAGTACAACGCATGTTAAGAAAAAATATCAACTTCACACCACCCAGATATGACCCACATAGGGGTGTATACTTCTGTGTTTTCCCCCAACATATTTGTTTAGATTAAGATATTTAACCCTTGTTTCACAGCTTCATCAGCCTGTGGGCAAAATAAGACTGCATCTACCTTTAATTTTATTTCATTTTTGTTTGTGGGCTCTTTTAACTTCCCATGCAAAAATTTATAATTTTTATAAAATCCTATCTAGCAGCATTTTACTTGATGATTCCTGACTTTCATGTCATCCTCGGGAAGATTTCCATCTCAAACATTTACCTGTAAGGCTGCTACATCAGTAGTTTTTTGTTTTGTTTTGTTTTGTTTTTAGTTTTTTGAGACAAGGTCTGGATATGTAGTTCAGGCCAGCTTTGAACTCACTAGGTAGCCTAGGCTGGCTTTGAATTCACAGTGATCTTTCTGTCTCAGCTTCCCGAGTGTTGGAATTATAGGCATGTACCCCCATGGAGGGCAACTTCAATATTTTTAATTCATCTAGAATTTGTTTTCCTATAAGGTGTATTTATTTATATTTTATTTATATGAGACCACTTGTCTCAACATGATTTATTGATTAATTCATCTTTTCCCTCACTGGTTTAAATGTCACCTTTATCACATACATATTTCTCTGTTATACTCAAGTCTACTGTGTGTGGATTCTTTTTCTTCCATTAATCTGCCTGATCCTGACTCAGGACTATTCTTGTTTAATCCCTATAGCTTTTTAATATATTATTTCATAAGGCAAGAGCCATCATTATTCTTCTTTTGAAAAACTATCTTGGCTTTTTTTCCCACAGAAACAATTATTTATTTGTATTGTTTTAATAATATGACTTGTGATAATGTTAGTTTTAAGAAAATAAATCAATGACTATGTTATGCTGGAACAGACTGAACTTAATATTCTCTTTTGCCTCTTTGCTGATTTGTCTGTTTTATTGGTCTGTTCAAAGTCCCACTACAGAGTCTGCACTCTGGACAAATTGCAACATACATTCCTCTGGGACCGCCACATTCATAAAGGTTTGTCTGACACAGTCAGCACTGTCAGAATAAAACTGCTAATATCACAGCTTCAGTACATATGCTGCCTTTGGATTACTTATTCATGAGCTGGGGAACCTGACTAGAGTTTTCTTCCAATGCAAGCTATGAAAATTGTGGTTATATTTTAAAGAGACGGCTGAGGGAAAAAAAGATTAAGGACTGCATTGTGACCTGGAAAAATATTTCTTATCAGCCCACCAAGGTCATGTGCTGAATAGCCCAAATGTATCAGGAGCCTTGCTACAAAGATATTAACCCTTGTTTTCTTTCACCATTTTGCTTTTTCCTTTTTTTTCTTTTTTAAACATTTTTTGGTGCCAAGGACCAAGCCAGGGCCTCCTGCCTGGTAGACAAGCATTCTACCACTGAGTTAAACCTTCAGCCTGTCTTTCACCATTTTGAACCTCTACTACTAATTTTTAGACTTTTCTTGGTTATTAGCTTATGCAAATTTTAAATCTGAAAACATTCAACAGATGGGCATTGTACACCTTGTAAAGGAACTTTGCATCTCATGCTTTTTCCTATTGCGTCTCCCCTACCCCTATAAACAGTCTGAGGGAAAGGTAAGACTTCACTTCTTCCAACAGAAGTCTTGGGTTGGCCTCTCCCTGTGCGAGGTGAATTATGTAACAAAATCTCAAGACCAGACCAAACTCTTGTTGGGCATCAAAGAGGAAGAAGGAAAGGATTAGAGGGTTAGAAAGAGGTGGCAAGAATGCACGATTCAGAAAAGACTACAGGACTTAGTACTAGTCCTGACTAGTATTTTACTTTCCTTCTCTGTCTATCCACTGTGCCAGACATTTCTTACTGGTTCCTTAGATTACCTCAAAAAATTGCTTCACATCAATTACTTTACTTGTAGGTAAGAAAGTTGATTAGAGATCTCAAAGCTCTTTTCTAGCTTTATTAGTCTCAGATCTTATATTTGCTAAAATGCAGTGTGTATGCATAGTTTCTCAATAATTCACTCCTTCAACAGGTATTCATTATGCCCAGCTACGACCTCACACGTCATTTTAGTCATGGAAGGAATAAAAAGATGTAGCACCTACCTGGCTTTAAGGGATTCAGGGATAAGGGGCTGGGCCATCAGCATACAAACCACTGTTAGAGAAGCTGGAACACGGTTCTACATGTTAGATACAATCACAGCAGTGCCTGGTGATTTTGTAACTCTTATTTGGCCGGCTTTTGGTGCTGAGTACTGTATGCAGAGCCTACACGGTGTGCTATGCTGCTGGCCTTCCAAGAGTGATTCTTGAGTGCTCTTATGCAGAGGCAGGATAGTAGAGAGTAGCCTGCGTACAATCACTTCAGCAGTGCGGTTCACAATGCCTTAACATATGAACACATTCATGTCTTTGTCAATATTAGAACGTTTTTGGTCCAGTCTTATAAATTTGCCTCTCTATGCACTGTAGGAATAACTGAACAGATCTCTTCAGTGGTTTATAATGAAAAGACAAGAAAACTACCAAGAAAACCCATGGCTGGCTGGAAACCCACTGATGATGCATTGCTATCAAAGGGTTCGTCCTGGAAGCACAGGAGCTGTAGCAGCATTGAACTTGCTCCTGCGGGCCTAGCAGAGTCACCATGGTGATGAATGACAGGCCGCTGGGCTCTCTCTGCAGAATGGTGAATCAGGACCATTAGTAAAATCTAACTTACTATTACTCTACACTGGTAATTTAAAAACCCATTTTATAGGGTCCTAATAAGTAGCCCATAATCCAACAAATAAATGAGTCCGTAGAATTGTGCATCTTTTGCTGACTAGAGCTACAAAAAGTCCACTCCAAGCCTGTATGTGCGGCTATAGGCACTCTCTTTGCTTCAGTTACTGCCCTGTCTCATAGAATCAGGCAAAATTCTTGACAGATGTGGTGCCAAGGATTCTGGGAACCTGGTCCTGACTCCATGTTTGTCGGCCTCATAGCTTTTCTTCCTATTGCTCCTGTGGTGGTCCACTAATGCTAGGAAGGCTTGGTCACCTGCCCTGCGTCCTCACAGGGCTCCATTCCCATTACCACCGACCTGCCTGTGTGCTCTGTCTGGTCCTCAGCTGTGGCTCACGAGGCCCAGTCTCTGTGGATGTTCAGTCCCTGCTGCCTGCTGTCTAGGGGGACATACGAGTGGAAACACCTCCCTCACCTGCCTCCTCTTGCTGCTTGGACTAAGGAGTCTCAACACGCCTTTCGTTTGAGCTGTTTTCATCTCCTTTCTCAATGCACTAATTGTTCCCTCTCCATCACTGACCTGAAACAAAAATTTTTTATCCCACTCCATGGTCTGTTAGTCCTCTGGCACTGGTGAGATATATGATTTTAGTGATAGTGGAGATCACTGCTGGTTATGTTCGGGAGTCACTAAAAGGTTTTAGAGAAGAAGCATGACGGATAACTCTTTTAAAAAGAACATTTAAATAAGGACTGGATACTAGGTAAGCGGGACATTTTACAATGGAAATGTAGTTGCATACAAAATGTCCTTGTTTTTTAAAGATGTCTATTTTGTACTGAAATATTTGTGGGTGAAATGTCATAGTGTTTGATGTACACTTCACAATACATTGGTGAAAAATATATGGGAAAATACAGAAAAATGTTTATAATTGTTAGATCTAGATGAAATTACATGGGTATTTATTATACAATCTACTCTATTTTTTCTGTTTTTTTATGAATACCAAAATATAGACATCAACCACTTTCTTGGGGCACACTTTCCACAGTAACTACATGGTTGTTGCTTACCTCCTACAGGTCTCTGGTCAAATGTCGTTTATCAATGAGGCCTTTGGGTCATATCGTATGAATAAATAAATCTGTACCCACCTAATCCCTCCCCCTGTGCTATTTCTTGAATTCCCCAGCACCATCTTGGGGAAAAATACATGCACTTGCATATAAACCTACAAACCTGTATGTGTGTGTGTGTGTGTGTGTGTGTGTGTGTGTGTGAGAGAGAGAGAGAGAGAGAGAGAGAGAGAGAGAGAGAGAGAGAAATGGTTCTCTGTTGTCTCTTGACTAAAACCGAAATTGTATAAAGCAGGAATTTTTTTGTGATAGGCTCTTAGTAAGTATTTAATTGAATAAAAAGAAAAGATAGAAATAAATCCCAAACCAGGGAGGAGGTGAAAGCAGCCATTCAAGCGAACCCCGGTGAGGAACAGAGCTAAAACAGCAAGGCTGGGGATGGAGAGGGAAGTGTGCATGGAAAACTGACATCTTGTCTGTTGTTTTTCTTCATTCCCACAGTCCAAAGTGCTTCGGGAAAAATGGCTGCTGCAGGGTATACCGGCTGGAACGGCCGAGGAGGAGGAAGACAGGCGGCGGCAGTCTGAGGAGGATGAGTTCAGAGTCAAGCAACTGGAAGATAACATTCAGAGGTAGGTCGTTTTTAGCCCGGGGATCCCATGCAGCAGAGTCGTCGTGCAGTGACCACTACTATCCTCTAGGGGGCGTTTCTCCATGTTGCCATCTTTTCCCAGCAGCTGTCCTAAACAGCTCACACTGGTATCATTTAACTTTCCCATATGGCCTGTGTTATTATTCAGAGTCCTAATTGTTCCAATAGCCTGTAGTACATTACAACGATGTCTTCTTAGGCCAGTAAGATGCGGTAAGAAGCTTACCTCTTTGGAAAATACCTCTTTTATATCAGTTTTTGACTTTTTCCTCTTTGGGACGAGGCTGTTAGTTGCCCTTGCCACTGTAGGTGTCTATGTGTACATTTGCATCATGTAGTCAGTCTGAAGTGGGGAACTGTAGCTAAGGGTCTTGGGATTGAAATGAAGGGCCTACAGCGAAGCGCTGGTGAGAGCTCCTCTGTAGGTGGCTTGCCTGGCTCTGAAGCTCGACTTTGTATTGTCTGCTTGCTTCTTTGTGTTTGTTAGATCCAGGTTCTGAGCATTTTATTATAAGAGGCAAGTGATGTACCTGTGGTCAATGATATCCAGGCCCATCCAGGAGCAAAAACATAGGTTTGCACTTAGGAACTGTTACCAGCTTGGGTCCCAGGACTCTTAGCCAGAGATTGGGTCCCTTAGCCAGAGACTGGAGCAGAGGGTAGAAGGTGGTGAGTGTCGATGTCTTTAGTGCCAAATTTATGCCTCCAGCACATCCCACCAAATTCTGCCTGAAATCTCACCCTCAACCTGAAAGGCATACTTTAGCCTCTGTTCCTACTGTAATTAGGTCCTAATGTCTCCTAGAGAGTATTTTAGAGTGTTTAAATCAGTGTGGCTAAACTGCCCTTGTGGGGAAAATGGGCCAAGGAGAATTTTGGGGAGGGGAGTTGTACATATACACACACATACATGAGTGGATGTATATGCATTTTCTTAGAATGCTAAGAAGGGCTAAACTGAAACAACCATACTGTACGTATATCACACATACACATGCATGTATGCACATACACACAAAACATATTTATATTTCAGAAAGAAAGAAAGAGAGAGAAAGAGATGTTATTATAGACAGAAGGTAAGAAACAAAGATGTGGAAAACAGCGTGCAATGAATTATGTGACATTTTCTAATTTTTCTTGCGGTCTTCCAACCTAAATGGCAGTCTCACCTTGGCTTAGCACGAATGTGTTTCCATTGTAGCCCAGCAGGTGTAACTCTCCTCCACAGACTGAGCGTTTCACTCACAGACCAGAGTTCAAACCGCAGACCTGGTTCTGCCTACACTGACCATGGGACTGAGGTGTGAGGATGAGAGGCTGGCACTGGCCCAGAGTTAAGGGGAGGCACAGCCCCTCACCCAGTGCATGCATCTCTGCTGGACACTCAGTGGGCTCATGAGGCCCAGCCTGTGGCCATGGGCCTAAAGCTAGAGTATCTCCGAACTTCACTGAGGCCATCCTGGGCCCCTGTCCCCTGGCTGCCACCACTCTCCTCCCACCCTCCTTAAGAGCAGCCCTTAACCCTTACAAGGCCTGGCCCAGGGTTTTTGCTGGTCCTTTACAGGCTTTAGCTGTCCAGTCCTTTCCCCTTCATGGGGCCAGGCCTGGGAGGGAGCTCATTTTCCTCCCACAGCCCCCTCCCCCTTCAAATACAATTGCTTGGTAGCCTAGCAAGTCCAAGCCACATAACGGCTCAGAGGGGTCTGGTCAGCCACTCCTACTGCGAAGGCAGTGTGGGCACCAGAGGTTGGATGAGGGGAGGCTGCTGGGACCCTCTGGATGCTGCCCATCAGGCCTGCAGAGGAACAAGGCCTGCAGCTTGCTGCTTCCGCTGCTTCTGCAGCTGCCATCCCGCATCTCTGGTGAGGCCTCGACTTGGGTTCCTTGGGCCCAGCAGCCCGCAGCTGCTTCCCACTGATTCCGCCTCCCTCGTGGGGATGAGCACAGCAGGGATGAGTGGAAAGAGTGTACCTACAGATACATACGTATCACAGTGTGTAATTTTGTATTAGCAATCATGTAAATACATGTATGGATTTTATAATATACATATATAAATCTATAAAGGCATATTTTTAGAAAACAG